ACGCGGGCCCGAAGAGGGAAGTCGAATCAAGCCTAGACAAAACTGTTCTTGCCACAGTAGTGGCCATGAATGTGTCAGAAAACAACTCTCACACTATCATGATTCTTCCCCAAAAACAACTCTCACACTATCATGATTCTTCCCGTAAAGCAACTCTCACACAATCATGATTCCCCCTCCTCCTCCCCTCCTCTAATCACATGACTATGGCCCAAAACAATCCTCACACAATCATGAGCCCCTCTGAAGAAAAGGAGCAACGATGTCCATATACCTGAGGACCCTCGTTAAAACCTCACACTGCGAAAAAATAAATGGATTAGAATGTTAGAATGAATAAGCTAGAACAATGTCGATGAGCGCACAGCGATGGTGAATTGTATTGCTCTGTCATAGCAATGTTAGACTTAAGTTCGCGGGGGATGAGAAAGGAGAGGGGGAGGAACAGGAGAAGACAGGGAGGAGAAAGTACGAGATGAAATGCTTAGCGGGGTGAATATCGTTAAATTAGCACATGCATGCACACACACTCAGAAACGTCCAATACCGACAATACCAACCCAGCGGGACGAAAGACTTAAAAAGCAGCCTCTACCTACGAAGCGGCCACCCATCGAAAAATCCACCCTTCTCCTTCTCGCGCCCATCGAACCCAGTCCCCTTGGCGGCCCCGCCCTCCCCCTCCTGCGGCACAAGCGCCCTCAACACCCTCATCACATTCTCCAACTCCTCCTCATTCGGCTTCCACAGCGTCCTCAACTGCTCCCAAACCACCATTGTGCGCTCGCGATCTGTCACCTGACTAAAGGCCCTGAGCGCCGCCACCACGGCCATGGAGGACAGCCACGTGCCCTCCAGACGGCTCTCGAGCGCTTTGACGTACTGTTTGAAAATCTTCTCGAGCTGGTCGCGTGTCCAGGAGGAGTAGCGGACGCCGCCAAAGGAGTGGAAGCCGTGGAAGATGACGATGAAGATGGTGCCGTTGAGGGGGACGGAGTTGTATCGCATTTCAGCGAGGAGTTGGTTGACGCGGTCGATATTGCCGGCAGTGCTGGAGTGGTGGCGGATGAGGACGGCATAGGTGTGGGTGTCGGGCGCAATGGGCGCGTAGTCTTGGAGTTGTTTGAGGCGCTCCTCTTCACCCATGTCCTTGAGGGCTCGCGCTTCGTAGGTGAGGTGGAGGCCTAGAAGTCGGCGGTCGCGCCATGTGCGTCGGAAGAAGCGGTGGCCTGGGGCCGGGATCATGCGGGTTGCGTGCAAGCGCTTCATGCGTTCAAAGACGTGTTCTGCGGCTGAGGGTTCGCCGGCGCGGATCAAGGCGGCGATGACGGCGTTCATGACAACCGTGTCGACAATGTCACCCTTGGTAATCATTTCTTGGTAGGTTCTGCGGACTGCGTTGCCGTCTTGCTGGACGCCGTGGTAGTAGATGAGGGAGACGCGGTGGTGGCGGTGCATTTTCAATTTGCGAACCTGCATTTGCTTGAGGAAGGTTTCGGCCATGGCGAACTCTCCGGCTTTGACAGCGATATTGAAGAGGACGTTGAGGGTAACGTAGCTGCTTCGTAGACCGGCGCGCGTCTCCATGTCTCGCCAGATGTATATGGAAGATTGGAGGTCGTCTGCCGTGACTTTTCCCATGGCGAGGCCTGTCAGATGCATGGCTGAAGTCCATTCCGACGTCAGAATGTGGATATGCGCAGTCTTCATATCGTCGAGTATGGAAAGGAAACGCTGCATAGCTATGGGTGTGGGGCGTTCCACAATGGCCAGATGGTGTAGCAGAGCGCGTATAATGTTGACGTGAAGATAGACCACACCCGGTGACTGTAGCTTCTTATAGGTGTCGTAAATCTCGTCATGAGGTGATTCGTCATCCATCAGTAGTTTCTCAAGGTGCTTGATGTGTTTGGCATCCGCAGCATCGCGTAACGGCCATGGCTCGTGGTCGTCGCCCACATTCCAAATCAGATTGCCTCCGTCTTCGAGATCCGGATCAGGACGGGTGTCGAGCTCGATACCATAATAGTCCACCAGCGCCTTGAGCTCTTTCTCTGCAAACGTCCTGGCCCTCTTGAAGGGCTTCTTGAAGCCTGACGTGAGCGTGCCCCCACTCTTCTCACCCTGATGCCATGTGCTCTTTTGCCGCAAATCCAAAGACAGCATAGCCTGTGGAGATGACTTTGGCAGCGCGTGGCCTGGTTTTGCGTGTAACGAGCATGCTCCTGCGCGGACCAGTGCCTGTATGAAGAAGTTGTCCAGATGCTCGGGGTTGGAGTTTCGGCGCGGGGTACGGGTTATTGCGCTCCGGGTGAAACTGCGCTTCGAATGCGTCTGCTTTTCGAGAGTAGGGTAGAGGAAGGTGAGGAATGGACGGATATGGGCGGATTGAGGGGCATGAGTGGCATGGGTGGCATTCGAGACTGCGGAGGTCCGATCGAGGGTGCGGAGGAGGGACATGAGAGGTCGCGCATTGTGTCAGCGGGAATGGCTTTGGACGGAGCCCATGGATGACAGTGAATGGAGTTGACTAGGAGGAGCGAATTGAGTGAGATTCGAGATGGGCGGCGGGGTCGTCGAGTGGTTGTTGTTTGCGCAGTTGCGGCCAAAACCAAGCATCCAAAAGATTTCCGCCGTGCCAAGACATTGAACTCGGACATCGTGAATGGTGACAACACCACCAACCAACCAGTGCACCCGCCCAAGACACTGTTACTCTTCGCCCTCACCCTCTTCTGCAGAGACTCATGGCGTAAGATCTCTGCACGCATAATAGTAGCAACAACAACACCGACAGCCCCTCATGGGCCGCTACGACTTCCGCGCCCTTCGTGTGCGCCAAACCGCAAAAGCCCTCTTCGACTCAAAACGCAACTCTGACCTGCCGCAATGGTACGATGTAATCGGCAACATCCCCCCTGGCGAAACCCTTGCCCGCCCCGTTCTACGAGCCCCCAAAGTCCGACACGCGCGCAAAGCCAGCAAGTTATTCAAGCCACTTGCGATTGTCTACCCAGAAGACAAGCTGCGATCAGAGTTCTTTGGTGATCATCCCTGGGAGCTGGCACGCCCGAGGCTCATAGTAGAAGATAGCGGAAATGACGCAAAGGGATATGATTGGAGTAAAATAACACAGCCGGGAAAGCAATTGGATGGTGAAAGGTACGACCTTCACCCCACTACTCCCCACCAAACACATCGCCATTCCCCAGATCTAACACTGACACAACCATCCAGCGTCGTCCAACGCCAAATGTGGCTCATGAAACACGCCTCCCTCTCCAAAGCCTCGGCCTATGACCAAGCCCGCCGTGAATTTTACGCCCACCGCCACCGCTCCGAAATCCGCTCACGCATCGCCCGCGAAGAAGCCCAATATGTTGGCGCCTACTTTGGCAAGGGCCCGCTGGAGATCGGCATGGAGCTCGAAGATAAGAGCTGGGAGTCGTGGAAGTCGTGGGCATCGACCCAGATCGACGACGAGCAGGCCATGCGCGCCCAAATGTTCAGTGGCGCACAGGATGAGGCTGCCGACTCGGCTACTGCTGATCTCAGTGCTACTGAGTTTGATGATGTGCTCACGGAGACGCCAGCGAAGAATATTACGCCTGGTGCGCCGCCGGGGACGAGGCCGTTTGGGGCTACGGCGGCGCATGCGTAGGGTGGAGAGTGGTGTTACGATATGTACATTGTGTAGATGTATGCAGGATGTGAATACACCTGCAAATCCAAGTCACGACACTTGACGTTCTTTTGTTATACTATACACATACTTCCCTTGACTGGATAACTCGGCATACAGCGCACACCATCCCTGATATCCACTCAATCGACCCCTTTATGCCCTTTCCACACATGATCCCCATCCCACCTCACTTTCAAACCTCATCCCTCCACTATCAAACCTCACTCCCCCTCCTCCCCCACACTACATCTAACTCATCCCAGAGATCAATCTACCCATACATCACATGAACTGCTCTTTGTTTCGATCAACCCCAAACCCAAATCACACATTGAATGAAATTACCCGTGGTTTCGAGCAACTCCAAACCCAGCCCACACATGAGGAGAACTGGTTTCAAGGTTCGATTGAGCTAAATGTCATGAACACAATGTTCGAACATGGCAAGAGGTAGTAGTATTTTCAACGGATAGTTGTAGGAACCACACTTGCGCATTGGTATTCGTACACACGCTACAGTTTTATATCAATAGACGTGAAACCCAAATCATACTAAAACACTGCATTTTGTGCTTCTTGGCACCACCATAATTGTCCCTCATAGTAAAGTCTTCGCATCCCTAGCCTTTGTAGACAGTCGAGTTCCCGCGATCATAAGTCCCACAAGCTCGTAATTCTCGACAACCTTGTACCGTAACCATACAGTAGTCCTATGGTAAGTTTCCGCACAAGCTGCATGCGGCATTACCACCAACCCCCCACACAACCCCAACAGAAAATCATCAGAGATATTGGATCTGAACGAACGCTCCGTCACTATCTTCCACAAAACTGGAGGGCAGCAAGTTTTGAAAGAGGTAGCAAAGATACAGAGAGCTTTCGTTGCATGTGCTCTAGAGGGAGTGTAGAGTGTCTAGTAGTAGTTATTAAAGTCCTTATTATATATAGATCCTTCCTCTAGTACTATTATAGGAAAGGTCTCTAAGTCCTCTAATGCATCTCTCTAGAGCCCTTGCTTCTCTGCAAACCACAAAGCAGAAGAAGAGAGGTTTAATACCTTTAGTAAAGCAGGTCTACAAAGTAGCTCTATCTTGTCCTTAGTTTTTAGCTATATTATATTTTAAGAGAAGCTCTTATATATTTCTACTATATATTCTAGCGCTCCTAAGAAATTATAGGGAGGGAGGTTTATATATATATTATTATCTAAGGATCTTATATTGTATTCTCTTCGCCTAAGCAGCACCCCTACTTAAGTATATCCTCTGCTCACATACTTCTTAACGCTCTTTTAAGCCCTATAGAAGTAGGAGAAGCTATCGCCTCTCTATATATTAGAGAACTTGTTTGTCTATCTATAAGCTTTTATATTATATGCTATATACCTATAGAGGTAGCCTAATATATATGCAGATATATAAGACTAAACGTAGCTAAGATAAAAGCCTAGGATAAAGAAGAGTGCTAGATTCTCTCTATTTAGTATTACTATAAGCTGCACCTTAGACGTACTACTATTATACTTTAGCTTGCTATAGATTATGCTTATTTAATCTAGGTACAAGCTATTATCTAATATGCCTATCTCTAGCACTTTGTCCTTTACCTTTATTATTATTTTTCCTTAATTATTAGGCAGCGCTTATAGCACTGCGTACCCTTTGCCCTTAGCGTGTTCTACGAAACCTCCGCTCTTTATATTTGTCTACAAGGACTTGTTAATAGCTATCCTTCCTTTGCCTAGCTCTAGCATTTTATACATCTTCTCTATTAGCTTAACCTACTTAATACTAGCACTCTTACCTATTTCTACGAAGACTAAGACTATATTAGGATCTCTAGGTGCGTAGAAATTAAAGTCAGATTCTAGCCCTGCTGACCCAGGAACGTAGAAGTCCGCTGCTCTGAACCCTAAGAGCACCACCTTGCTCCTGGACATGGCTTCTAACAATTTCTCCGGACTCTTAAAGAACCTTGCCAGGTACCTTCTGATGCAGAGTCGGCGATCACATTCTGCAGAGACTCTTTTGCAGAATTTCTCTCGAAAGTCATGTCGCTACGTCTTGCGGTTTTCAAAGAGTCGGATTTATAGTAAGTGCCAGGTTAGGCACTACTACTTACACCGAAACAACCACACGCGCGCCGAAGACATGAAATACACCATGTCAGCTTTCGGCATCATACCCCGTCCAAGCCTGCAAACACAAAAGCGCCACACAGCATTTTGGTGATCCGAATTCTTTTTCCTCATGCAGACGATTTGTACGCGTTTTGAAAGCACGTACGAGACAGACATCATATCGGACATCCATATTCTGGAGATAGGAGTTCAGGTTCCACCGGTACTGCACATGATACTGCAATCGGGTGTATTCGGTCTGTTTTGTAGTGCGGTGGGTGTCAGGTGAGGCTGTGGAGGTTGGAGGTATATATAGTAGAGAGTACTAGACGGGCGTTAAATTTGGGTTTGTGAGAATCGATGTGTTGGAAGTTGCATGCGGATGAGTTGTATGTGCTTTTACGGGAACATTCATGCGGCCGCTGTGCGTTGCTTAGGCGATCCCACACAGGTGACACCTCTCTGTATCCGGCTTGATTTGTGCTATTTGCGTGTATGTCTGTGTTGTGCTGGACTGGGAAGTGAATAGTATAGACACGTAGTTTCTTTTTGTAGAATTCTCTTGTGACGTATCCATGTCTTTGCCAAACGTAAATTAGGATCTTCTGAACAACGGTCTTGACGGACATTTACAGATGTGAACAAGTTTTTGGAACATGAGCCAGTTCGAAAAAGAGTTTGATACTGCCAGTCGAAACAGTCCGAATATCATTTGTAAAGCCAACCCTTTTTTGGACAGGCCCATGGTCCAACGACCCACACTGCCCTCTACATGTGAGATGCCACCTGATCATTCGTCCTGCTGCAAAAGGAACTGTCCATAAATTCCCGGAAGGATTTTACAAAAGGAAACAACTGAGTATGAGAAGGTAGGAATCACCCTGGGAGGAGTCTTTCATAGGTAGATTTAACACATGAGCAAACAGTCCAGACATCCTCGAATCAACGTCTTGGAATAATACCACCGCGTCAAGCTTAAGAGGACTGGCGTTTTTGAGAGGGAACGAGAAGGGAGCAGACCGGGAAGTCATTGATCGAGAAACTTGAGAATTTCTGACGAGTTGGAAGCGAATAGAAGTTGTTTTATCAGTTGTCCTCTGGCTTTGCGGGGTTGGAAGAGCATCTCGCTCTTTTTTCCGGGTTTGAATCTTCCGGTCGTAACTCGCCGCGTGATGTGATTCCAGAGGTGAAGAAATTCACAACTTGTATGATCGCTGAGTTTAAATTCGAGAGGAGACTGAAGTGGCGTTTACTAAAATATTGAAAGATTTCACATGTTGAACGTATAACGAAATTGTTCTTGCACTTGCACCCCCACCCCAAAACTGTGTTTTGCTTGGTACTGTGGTGGAGTTGAGGAACTGGACAAAGTCGTGTTGTCTCGCGCAGATTCCCTAAACAACCTGGCAGACGGGAAGACGAGAGAGCACACATATTGGTTGTATCCCTTTGGTTCAACTCGTTGTGAATGGGAGTGCTGAAATGGAGTTATACACAGGTTGATACAATTTTATATACCCGATTCACAGATAGCAATCAGCACTCAAAACTCGCAGTTTTTGCCTGCCCATAGAGGAGGGAGATTTGGCACGACTCTCGATGCTGGTCTCGGCCATGTGACTGATGTCTTGGTGTCTGAAAGAAGACCACGCACACAGCCATCGAATACTCACACAATCTATTTTGTAAAGAGATGGGTGGATGTGGTAGGCGAGAAGAAGTACTGAGTACCGGAACGTTGGAGGGAATTTATATGCTCGGATTGAGACAAACGCCGTTCATGAAGAAGAAAGCGACATAATTTATGTAAGAACAGTACTGCTAAATGGCGCGCAGCATGTCTGCTCTCAGGCCTTGGAAATAATTCTGGTCTGCTGTACGGTTGATGATACCACTTGAGTATTTCGCCACACATGTAGGGATTCGTCAATGTGATGAAGGTGCCGGACAAGAGCATGTCAGAGTTTTCTACCTCTTTTGTAGGCAATATATTGAATCACCGGGCGGCTTGAGCACAGTACGGAGAATATTGTCATGTCCAGTACTGAACAAGCTAGAGTCGCTCTTATAATATATATCCTCAATCCCTATAGATGCCATAATCTCTTTGTGTTGAGACTTTCGACATGTTCAACTACCAGGGAATGCCAAATCCGAGGCATCAGCAGTATTAACAATATTATTGCCAAGTGGCTGACCGGGCAAACCAGACATAATGTTAGAGCTATGCTTTTCAGATTTTACTAGTTTCGCTTACGGTATGTATTTAGGAACTTTAGTGTCTTCTTAGCATACGACCTTTAAGGATGCGAGGACATTCTGTAGTCGTGTCACGATGACAGCGATATTCGCAATATTCAAGGGTAAGGAAAGTTGGACCTGGAAAGCGGCTCAAATGCCTCCAGTGTGAAGGCAAACATATACGGTGCTTGCGAGACTTTTGCCAGGCTGGCCACGGCTGTGAATGACGTTCATTCTATGTCTTATCGCCATTTGCAATGTGAGAAATACGAACAACCGCTCAGTGAAACATATTAGGTATGCTGCGTAGCTCTCATCCGAAAAGCGCTCAGACATAGAACGAAATCGATTCTGTCCTCGACTACCTTGTGCGTCCATAAACGCAGTTTCCAAACTCCAGCACATGACGATGTTACAGATTGGGTTTCACACATCTGGCTCTTTGTTTTGCAAATCGTAGGCAGAATACTGTGTTGAACGTGCGGGAAGAGTTGGAACCAAAGGCGTTCATATACCACCTAACCAATATTTCCAAAATCTCCACGTCAAGGCCCAAGGGAAAACATGCAGCAAAAGGTAACAGCTTTTGCGAGTCTGAAATCTTGCAGACATGGACTGTATCTAAACCTTAACACTCCAAAATACATGCATCGTGAAACCTTGGATAGCACAACATGACAACGACTGAAGCGTTCGTGCATGCATCTACCGGTATTCCCTGGATTACGAAACCGAAATCACACTATGCCCCTGCCCAAGTAATTTCAGGAAGCACCACCGAGCCCACATTCTTGGATGCAGGGACAGGTTTTTGAAGTGGAGGGAGAAGGTGTGAGGGAGAATGCTTGGACAAAGTGTGAGAGGTTTTATATACGTGCGTGACAAATGCATTGTTTGACTTCTCAAAATAGCAGAAAAACAGTGATCTGCATATCCGCGAAACTTGTCTGCAAGACATGTATTTTTCGTCTACCATTGATTCATCGATGGCGACAACATACAACCCGCTTTCATTATCTCCAAACATATCCCACTCCACAACCACAGCACGCACATTATCGAAGCGCCCCATTTCTCACACGATACGACACCATATCCGAGCTCTGCACATCGCACCATCAATCTTTACTGGCCGAATTTCCCAAAGATGAAAGTATTGCAGTATCAGACAAAGCGTCATCCGGAACTGCAATGCATTTAAGAGTACGCAACAGATCCGGCGGTCAGAGAACCGAGATGTGCCTTTTGGTTTTGACTGGTTAGTCTTCGCCGCCAGGACGGCTCATGTTCGATTCATCTCCTCTTTAAGAATATAATGGACTGAAATTGACGTTCCATGGGTGTGATGCAGTGGGAAAGCAGGAGGAGTTGGGGGGATGGGGGGTGTTTTTATATACCGGTAACAGCAGATATCCTAACCGACGTTGGACTGAAATTCGCCGAGGACTGTGTTGTACCGGTACACTTCACGTTGTTGTGAGAGCATCGTTGCCCGTTGTCTGAGAAAAGACATGATAAGAATTTACTAGCGTTTGGAAAGAATACCATGCAATCAGCTGCTCAGAACGCACCTGGCATATCTATCACATTTAACATCAGCGCCGCCCAAACCCTTGATTTCGTGCAGCTTCAATTTCAAAAGCCTTTCAAGACTTAGGTATGTCTCCACCGCACGTCACTCCGCACAGCACCCTCCCCAACCTGTGGAACGCTGGGCCGTCTATTTCAAGTCCCAAACAGGATCTACAGCATCTTGCCTTCTATTCTAGTTTTTTTGCTCACAGCTAGCAACGCAACTTCATTCTTCCTAAATTCTGCCTTTGAAAGATTCCGGAAACTTGGGCGCGTAGATGGAAGAGAAAGGAGGTAGGAGAGAAAGGGAGAAGCAGAATATTTATACACACACAGCACACCACTCACCCAACTAACACGCCTGCCTCAAAGACCCCTCATCCCTACTCACCTCTACTTCTATCCCCTTAAAAAACCCATCCTCCTATTCCACCACCCTTTAAAACCCCAGAATCGAAATGAAACCCCATTACCCTGCATTCCCAAAAGCAAAAAGTAATGATTCCAGCGCGCAAAAAGAATGACATGACAGCCCCCACCTCCCTGGGTTTTTACAACAGCGTCGTCATGTCCCACCGCGTCAAACCAACAAACTCCCACATTCACAAATCCTCAGCCTTCAAATCCTCAGCACATGTTCTTAAATACATCCCTCCCATCCACCTCCCTCTCACACGAACACAATCCCATCGAACCATTGGTCCGCCCATTTGAAAAGGTCTCGGGGATTTGAAATTTCGGTGTGTGGGGTGTGGGTAGAAATAGGGGGAGGGTTTATATAATACCAAGATACTCGTTACCGATTACTAATCATACGATAATAGAAATGATACCTAGGGTGGGCTAGGATGATTGACGTTTGTGGTGGATGGGTGTTGTGGTATACGTAGGTGTGGTGTAGTCTAGTCTAGTGTAGCAGATTTGGCAGGTGTGGTGCAATACAGCACAATGCACTGCGCCAAGCCACCACCAACCTCCCAACTACAAAATCCACGAGCAAGTGATTTCCTCATCGGAACGCTTTGGAGTTGTTCGGAAACATTGTACATCCATTGTATAGGTACTATACATATAATTTTTCACCTAGCGTACACCTATCATATACATTACAACCCCGTCTCCATCTCCATCCCCATCTCCATCCCCATCTCCATCCCATCCCTCCCCCCCCCACACACACACAACAAACACACGCCACACGTAGGCCCAGGAGTACACTATCTATACAAAATCTCCACATAATCTCCACATCTTCCATAAGAACTCAACATGAACCATTATATTAGTGGTTGTAACATGAATAATACATGTGTATGTATGATTCTGACTAGGATTGGCGGGGGTGAGGATGGATGGGGAGGGAGGGGGTTAGGTTGGGAGTTAATGGATGTAGTTGGTAGGTAGATGAAGCCGAGTGGATGATGAAGGAAAGGCGGGTTTTTCCTTGGGAAAAAGTTTGGAAAAACGGACAAGGGAATAATGTATATAATTCAAAAAAAATGTACAGTGAAGAGAATTACCTGTTATCCACCTCCACATCAACCCTCTCCCCCTATATCTTCCCCACCCCAGCCCCCCTCCTAACAACCTTCTTCACATCCTCCAACGGCGTCAACCTATACCCATACGGGACCTGCGTAAAATTGCCCACCTGCGTAATATTCACCCCCGCACCCCCCCAATCATTCCTCGCCCCGAGATTAGCAAACCCGTCGAGTTCGTAATCGCCCTCGGGGCTCGTATTCGGGCTATCCTCTGGGATAACCAGACCATAGGTACTCAGGGCCTCGCGAGACTTCCCGCGAAACACGTTTCCCTCGACGAGGAGCTGGTTGTCGCTGCGGGAGTGAATGGCCTGGTAGCGAAAGTGCTCGTACAGGTTGTTGAAGATGTGTTGGTGGCCGAAGCGGGCGGCGGGGCCGCGGGTGCCTTCGTTGCGCCAGTAGTTGTGGTGGTAGGTGATGTGGAGGGTGCCGAGGTCGGTGGCGCGCAGGGCGTCCGAGTTGCCGACGAGGCTGGATTTCCAGTGGTCGTGGAAGAAGTTCCAGGAGAGGGTGATCCAGTCGCTGGCGCGGATGATGTCGACTTGGCCGTCAAAGGCGTCGGGGCCGAGGGCGGGGAAGGAGCCGGTGCTGAATTCGTTGTGGTCGATCCAGATGCGGGTGCTGTTGCGGATGGTGATTGCGTCGTCGGGGATGGCGGTGAGGTGGAAGTTGCGGACGATGATGTTTGTTGCGTTGAAGAGGTTGAGGCCGGCGCCGGTGATGGAGGCCCCGTGTTTGCCTACGCCGACGAGGGTTTTGTGGGAGCCGATGCGGACGCGGGAGGAGAAGTTGAAGGAGCCTTTGGCGTAGACGACTGTCGGCTCCGAGTTGTTGACGGCTTGGATGAAGTCGGCCACGTTGGTGACGGTGATTGTCTTGCCGTCTTTGCTGGCTCCGCCCGTGGTAGGTCCAAGGGGGTTGTCTTTTGCATATCCAACAAGGCTAAAGTCCAAGTCCAAACGAGAAGCAGACGCAGAAAGCGCAAGGGAGACGAGAGAGAAGAGCGAGAGCTTCATCGTGACCTGTGTGATGAGGACTGGAGGTGGATATAAAAGAAGCCCTCGCACACTGAAGTACCCAATCTTCCAGCGACATTCACTCAACTTTATACTCCTCCCTCTCCATCCCACAAACAAGCTGCTCTCTTTCCCCACGGCCCAGCCAACTCACACTCTCCAAACCCATGCTGTGAATTCTTCCGGGACCGTAGAACCAAATCCCCCACATTCACGTACCATACCCAATCGCCTCTCCAAGCCGTCAGACTCATCCACACACAGCACCTGAACTGGCGATGCACCACACCCTCCTCTTGGCCAGCCTGCACCCTCGCCGCTCAAGCGAGATCGCCACCTTGGCAGCACGCTCAAGGCGTCCCGGGAAAACCAGACGACAGGCTCGGATTGCCGTGCTCGTGGCGTACATGGTTGGTGGTGAGTGGTGGAGAAACGCGGAGACCCCCAGATCTTCCAGCCTGTAGGTAACTGGGCGAGACCTCATCCAAACCCTCATTTCTGAACCGCGGGGGAAATTGGCGTTGGAGACGGGGCAGTAGAGGAAGGTCCCGTGCTAACAGACTTCCCACCAGTTGCTTGCCATGGTGGTTATCGGAGGAGGGCTTGTCTGAGGAGGTGTGTTGCCGGGCGGTCAAGTTGTGTCGTGTTTGTGGCTGATGGTGGCTGTTGCGAATACCGTACAGATTGCGTGTGCGGCCGCGGCTGCAGCTCCGCGGTCATCTGGTGGGTTGATTTTGTATTTGCCGAGGGGGATGTTGTCGAAGTTCATCTCGCCAATACATGTCTCTGCTGCCGACAACGTACCCAACGGGAATGGTGCCTACATCGAATGAGTAAAAAGGGTAATTCGCGGATTTGGTGTTACGCTCGCTGCTATTCATGTGCCATGTGACGGGGATGGAGTCTGGGGGTGTCTTTCTGAGCTCTTGTCTTTGGTCTTACCTACGATGTTTGCATTACCGTATTCCCGGCTCGTTTGTTAAGAGCAAGAAACCCAATATTTGTCTACTACCATCCCCCATCCCAGCCCTCTTATAAACACAGGTTGCACTTCCATCCCTCCTGCCCGGCACCGAACAAGATATACATAATCAGATTCAGATCCAGTACAGCAACGAACATGGACCAAGGAAAGAAACACGCGAGATACATGTTCAAACAGCCAAGAATCCGACGAATCTGCTATGAGATTACATGGCATGGTATATGTTTATATGCAGTGTTTAGGAGAGAGAGAATTGGTATCATACCAATTCCATAACTTCAACTAATATTTACACACCTCCCCCCAAAAAAGAAAAGAAAAGAAAAGAAAAGAAAAGAGAGAAGAAGACTTTTCCACCCACCACCTCATCCATCACAAAAACCACCTACACCCTCACTCCCCCCTCCCCCTCCCCCTCCCCCTCCGCACTCTCCTGATCCCCCTTCTTCGCCAAAACCCCCTCGCCCATAATACTCTCACCCCCCATATCCCAATCCTGCGCCAAATCCTCGAGCGTCCGCCGCTTCGTCTCCGGAATCAGCAGCGTGGTGAAGATGCCGGCGAACATGAAGGCCGAGAAGATTTGCATGACGTGGTTGAGCCAGGGGTTTGCGTTGGACTTTGTGGCGCCGCGGGTGCGCAAGGGCGAGATGGCGCCTTGGGCGATGATGGAGCCGATTTTGCCGGAGCCGGCGGAGATGCCGTGAGAGGTGGAGCGGTAGCGGGTGGGGAAGCATTCGCCGGGGACGATGAAGGTGGTGGTGTTGGGGCCCCAGTTGAAGAAGAGCTGGTGGTGTTGGGTTAGTATGAGCAGAGGTGGGAAGAGAGCGGGACGGCTTACCTGGATGAGAATGTAAATGGCCAACATGCCGTGGCTGGAGAGCTTGTGGTAGGCGAAGCCCCAGATGATGAAGAGGATCGTGAGCATGCTGAAACCGATGAGTTGGAGAGGCTTGCGGCCAACGGTATCGAGGGTAGCGACGGAGAGCCAGTATCCGGGAATGGCGCCTGCGCAGATGAGAATGCAGTTTCCAGCCGCGAGGTTGTAGAGGCGGTGGTAGAGGTTGCTGCCACCTGCGTACCCAATGGCTTGGAGAACCGTGGACGCGTTCAGGCCGAGACCGTAAAAGGCAACGTCGAGTAGGAGCCAGGACATGGCCGTTCCAAACAGGATCTTGCCGTTCTTGAGTTTGCCGTAGAAGCGGAAGAAGTCTTTAAAGGAAGCCTTGGGGACGTCCAGTTGAGCGGCGCTGGTCTGGCGAGCCGTGATTTGAGTGATTTCGTCGGGGGAGCCCTCGCCGTGCTTGCCAGAGAGGTACTGCTTGGTGTCCACATTGGCCTTTTCGACATCACGCGCAACATCAAAGGTGTAGCGGGGCGTCTCGGGGATGGTGAGGCGGTAGTAGAGAGCAATACAGGCAGGGACGATGCCAATGCCGATCAAAGCGCGCCACATTCTGTCGACAGCAACCTGACAGTCGCCCGTGCAAGCCGCATAGTCCTTGGCGGCTTCGAGCTTGTGCTGGAAGCCGGCCACGAGGCACAGCATCACAAGGGCACCACCGAGCTGGCCGAAACCTTGCATGGCGAAGACGGCGCCCATCATGGCACCGCGCCACTTTGTGGTAGCAAACTCGGATGTGATGATGGAAGACAGGGGGTAGTCACCACCGATACCTACAAAGATACAAATTAGGATCCGCTCTCAGCTTCTGTCTTACAGTTCAACTTGCCGATTCCCATGAGCACACGCCAGAAAATGATCAGTCCAACGACGGAAACCCCAGGTCCAGGGCCAACGAGCGATTGTGCAAGCGTAGCCACGATGATGAGAATCAACTCGAGACCGTACATCTTCTTGCGACCGACAATGTCAGCGAGCGCCCCGAAGCCCACCTGTCCAATGACGGTACCGGCGGAGGTCGACAGCTTGATGGCGGTGTCTTGAGGCGTGCTGAGGACACCCTTGTTGTCGTTCCTGTAGACGATGCCCAACATGATGGTCAGGAGCGAGACGCAGAAGATGTCGTAGCTGTCGGTGAAGAAGCCTGTCCCGGCAACGAGAATGGCGCGGATATGGTACCAGCCAAAGGGCGCCTTGTCGATTTCAGCGAGCGCAAGACGTCTCCGCTCATTGGGATCTTCAATGTGTGCAAAGTCACTGGGAAAAGGAAATTAGCAGGATGAGGTTGAAGTTGGGCGACGACTGGACCTTACTTGTGGTAGTTGTGAAAGGCAGCATTGCCTCCCGCAGTCTTTTGAGCCATGGTGGCTTGACGATATCTCTCAGACCCTTTTTATCCACGCACGTGGGATGCAGAGATGAAGGCGAACGAGGGTCCCGACCAAAGGAATGGAGGACAGACGCGCTCGGTAGCGAGTCGAGGTGAAGTGAAGTGGACAACAAGTGTACAGTAGACAACCCAGGGAAAGAGAAGGGGACGATGTCTACCTAGATATAGGTAGTTGACCAGTCGGTATGTTAAGCTCTTCTAAGCCCTGGGCATGTACACACACCCAGTTGCTTACCTCCCGCCTCCATCTCCCCCGTCCACCTCCCCAAAACCTGACCTGATCGGGGGCCATGGCAGCCAATCAGCAGGCCGGATCAACGCACGCATGCGGACCGAGTGCTACTCTTCGTTCGGCCAGTCTGCGATGGAGTCATGGATTCCCGCCGTATTCGACCGTCATGGCAGATCCCAACTGGCGCAGGGCCGAAGATGTTCCCAGCCAAAAGGCCCAGGCGGCCGCCGTAGGGAAAAGGCTTGTCTAGTCTTGTCATGGGCGCGGGCCAAGGTTGGCAATTCGTCGTTGGTGTCTGGCTCCAGTAGTACTCGTACACAGAATGTACAGAATGTGACAGTCCGTGTAGTGCCATCCATTCATCGGGCTTTGGTGGGTTGGGGGGGGGGGGGGGGGAAGAGGAATGGCAACATGGCGGTTGTGAAGGGGTTGGGAAAACCAATCAGACGGCCCACGTGCGCGCTAACAATAGATAGCAAATGGCTTTGGCCTGGACAAGACCAGCACTCAACAAACGCGCACACGAGAGAGGCAAGGATGGAGGCGTCCCGAGGCAAGCTTTTTTCAGTCAAGGCTTGGTCATTGCTTGCACCGCTCAAGTCATGTGGCTTTTGTGGCGTTTGCCCTAGGTATAAAGTGGGCTGAGGATTGGATGGATACCGTCGTGCTGGTGAGAGCAAGCTTGTGTCGGTACTTGGTAGAGAGATGCGACATGGACAGATACTGCAGGCTCTGCCACATGCAATCTGCGATCTGTAAACTGTAAGTTGTGAACTGAACTGTGATGAGGGATTGCTACGGACTGTACTTGTCGCAAAGGCGCTCAGATTACAATTACCCCACGCTGAACCAACACGGGACGGGAGGTGGGGATGGACGGTTGAATGACACCCTTACCGTAACCCTTCTCTCCCAAGGAAAAGACTGGGGGTGTTTGAGACCCCCAGTCTTTTACGCGGTTACAACACCACGGCACTGGAGTGGAGACGTCACATTTGTACTCTACGTCAAGCAAACCCACCCAGTCCCCTCCCCCTCCACCCATACCTGATACTATGTATAAACACGCCATCCATCTTCCAGAACATCCAACTGAACTGAATCCCCCCACCGCATGACATCCATCGCGCTACTGCATGTGAATCGTCATGTCGAATCCTCTGGCATTTCCATGGTCCATTGGACTCTGTTGGCTGGGACATTCTCTGAACCCCCTCACCCCACGCCTCACTTCTCGCAAAAGCAAACCCCCCCCAAATAAGCCCGTCATAACATCATCATCTAGCAAATTCTGCCATTATAAATTCTGGGCATTTCGACGTTGGTCCAAGGGTGGTATAGGGCGTAGTGGGCGAGGTAAGGGCTTGGTGTCGTGGACGTCATGAGATTTAACACTTTTTTTTTCGTGTTGAAAACGAATCGAGCGTCCCTCGTTGAATACTCGTAGGTGGGGAGCAATGCGCCATGTTGTGCTTCCCTTCAATGTACAGTAGTAATGTCCTGCATCCTGTTCAATGCTAAAAGTCGGGCATGGTTGCAAAGTAAACCCCTTCCAACGCCGGTAACAGCAAGAAGAGAAAGCTGGGCATTTTGCTGGATCCAAAGGAAGGCCCCGCCTACTCAAAACTCACTCGAACATCTGTCGCTGCGGCGGGAACGGGATATAACTCTGGGCCTGGAAATCAGGTGGAAAACTGCCCTGTTACAATCAGCCCGAGAATCCTGCGATGAAAGTTTCAGAGGCACAAACCCAGCCAAAAGCCTCGGTGTATGAGCCCATGTCCATTGGTATGTCTGCCAGTGCAAACGGATTGCCGTAGTCGCTGTTGGCCATGGCGAACAGGTTTGCACTGTTGGCTTCTGCGGCGAAGTGGCAGAAGTCAAAAGAAGAGGTTGGAGTTGCGGTTTCGGCGTGGTCTAGTGTAGAGTGCGCTATTGCAAAATTTATCAGTAGAAAGTTCTATAACATGCAAGTGTGGCCTATGAGGGCAACTGACCAGGTAACTGCCCTGTTGCAGTGGATTCACTCGTATCATGAGCATCTACCTTGGCTAGCACCAGTTTGGCTGCCGCAGCCACTCTGCGCGCTTCCTGAGATCGCTTGCTCGCTTTGGTCCAAATGCGGTGGGCCATACGCAATGCCTCGATAAGTTCCTCGCGTGACGGCGGTTCGCCATCGAGCCGCAGTCCTTCGCTTCGACTTTCATGGCTAGGAGACAAAGGAGGGGCTACATCCTCCTCAAGATCAAGAACGAGAACAGTGGTCGCGAACAGGAAATCTTGAGCCACGAGGGAAGACAGGTACCAAGAGACAGTCAGGATCTGCCACCCAGCCGACCAAAGCTTGCCCCCTGGCTGGATCTCGGTATCGAGCTTGCTCTGGAACCCCAACATCTCGACAGCAGCATTCAGACAAATCCGCCTCGAGTATTGGTATCGGCTGTCTGTGCGACCTAGGAGGAGATAGGGGCGATGTAGCATGAGTTCTGCCTTGAGAAATGCCAATCCGAGGTACAAGCGACGCATTGTTTCCGGTGACACGACAGTGTCGAAATTCGTCGATGGCATCACTTTCGCTGACTCTGGAATCGCGTCGTAGACGTCTCGAAGTAGCTTATCCATCTCCATAATCTCTCGATACGCAGGCTGAGATGTGCTGTACATCAAATCCATCACCCTGGCGTGCGCGAGTCGTACGCGTGTAAGAACGATGCTGTATAGCAATTGTGTCAAGTCCGTTTCTGGGCGCGATGGCGGCAACTCGGACATGTGCTCATCAATGTCGTCTTCTCCGAGATTCCTAGGCTCGTGTGCGTCATACATGAATGGTTGGATCATGCGAGGCAGGCCAACCTGTGCCGAAGTGACAAAATCCAGAGACATGATTATTAGCCAATTCCTCCGCCGCATCTCTGCCCAAAACGGAGTTATGTTCGGAAACTTGGATGGCTCTCGGTGGTAGCCCATGCGGAAGGCGATGCGATTGATTGTACCGGCCAATATATACATGCCGAATTGAGTGTCTACGGAACGGAAATATTCGGTTCCAAAGTACAGCAGGCAAGTTTCTATCGTATATGGTGGACATTTGAGGTAGTTTGCTAACACAAGGCACTGTACCACTTTCTCACGATAGAAGCTCATACGGGCAGTGTATAGCATCGACTGTGGCTCACTTCGATTCAAATTAGCTTCAGGAAGTTGCGTGTCGAAATCCGCTTGGAAGCGAGAGCCCAGGGCAAGTGCAGCGTATAGCATGCCTATCCACATGGTCGAAGTCTCAAAAGGCCGAATCCAAAATTCATGATACTATGTAAAAAGTTAGCATTGACAGACTACGAAAAGTCGAGACATGTACCTGGCGCAAGAAAGTCCCTTTATGTAACAGCACTGCTGAAGTTAACTATCCGAGTGTTCCTGGGACAGAATACCCTTACTAGGCGCTATGTCCATGCATTGGAAGAATGTATCCACGAGCTGATTCGCCTCGGATCTCGAGGGCAATGCTGCAAGTAACTCTTCCTTTGTCGCATGTTTGTGACGCCCAAACAGGAGTTTTGGGCCAGGAACATCGTCATCCTGGGAGCCTGGCTCTGTGGTATCTGCAACGGGCACTTGATCTAGATGTTCCCGGAGCTCGGTTATCTGAAGCAGGATCAGCGCCAATTTCATGTACCTAAACTTGTAGCATACTCCATCCAAAATACTAGTCCAATGGCCACTGTTGGTATAGCTCGTCGCATCATGATCAAACTTGACCCTGTCAGGAGTTCCAGGAACTTCTGCATGAAGCGACGCATTCGCATGTAATGGTGTGGAGCTAGCCGAACCTTTATTCTCGACTCCATCTCCACCCATCAAGGATGTAACGAGTTTCTCAAGCTGGTTGATACGGTCATGGACGCTGTTCGCTGCTTTTCCTTCTTTTGGTGTCGGAGTTGGCCTCACGTATGAGCATGAAAGTGACAGTCCTCGATCGACACATGTTCTACAAGGCTGTTGTCTGTCGCACTTCAACCTCAAATTCGTCAGCATGTGGTCCTGGCAGTAGCTACATCTAAGGCCTTTACTTTCTGCGTCGGCAGAGGCTACATGATAAAATAGGTTTGTCTCGCCGTCTGCTAGGGGGAATGATCCGGGGCCCTTGACTGTCGGCCTCCATTCCAAACTTTGACTCACAGTGAATATTTTCACGCGTTCGTGAAGAAATCACAGGACGAAGTAGAGGTGTACACAGTAAAGCGAGGTTGTTTAGCGGCTTTACCCTACAGGCTCGGCGCCCGGAAAAGATATGCTCCCGATCCTAGGCTCTTCACAAGTATGCGACCTCCACTTCCTGGTCTTCCCCAACCCAACATCTGCTCCCCCCAATTGACCTTTTCGCTCCCGGTTCTGGATTGGATTACCGGTAGTCCCGATCTCCATTACGACAATCTTTCTCGAATACCAGTCATGTGAGAAGCCAGGCACTCGGTTATTGACTGGGGATTCAGATCAGGGTTTACTGGGGCGTTTCTTGGCAGACGCCACAGCCAGCAAGAATGAGGCTCAGACGAGGACACTCGAAACTCAATGCAAGATACTGTTCAGACGCCCATTGGAGTAAGAAAGACTAAATGAACATTGCTCGGAGGTTCCAGGTATTTCGTGTTGTCGGCTACATCGCCAAGGTTTGGCAGACCATGTACATTGAAAAGACTGCCCGTCAGATGACCTTGCAGACCACCAGAGGTAATATCATAGACGATCACTCCAACAGAGAATCTACTCTACCCAATGTGCCTGACTGGACATGCATAATAGTCAGGTACCTAAACCTGGGCAGCTTTTACCAGGGTCGTCAAGTATACCGCCAAAAGGCCATCCAATGGTACCATGGCTTCCACCGTGGCAAATAACGACTTGACGCAAGACTACGAAGGGACCAGAACGAGCTACTAGCTACAAGCTGGGTATACCGTAAGTGCTTGATAATCGACTTTTCTAGACTTGGAGGGTCGCATGAGAAGCGATCACTTGAGCAGAGCGGAGAAGCAAGCAATCAGATCTGCATACTGCCGTTAGGTAAGCGCCTTCGCCACATGTGGTCTTGGCGACAGCCCGTGGAGGTGGCTTAGACTAAGCCGGGGGGCGTTGCCCTGCATATCGAGGTGTGACCACGGGAACCGGCGTTTAAGCCATGACGCATATTGTCCACCAACCCTCAGGTACAGCTCCCTGTTCTCTTTCTTTCTCTTTTTCTCTTTCTCTCTCAAAAGACACCAATTCAACCTCTTTGCAGGCATGCAATCACAGAAAGATAGTCGTCCTTCAACAGCCTGTAACGAGTGCCAACGCCGGAAGCAAAAGGTCTATTTAGCCCTGCATGACTCTGTATTCGCAATAGAAGCTGATTACATGACTAGTGCTCCCGAGAGTGGCCTTGCAACCACTGTCAAGCAAGGAAAGTGGCCCATCTCTGTCAATTCTCGGCCAAGAAAACGCTACAAGAATCTACTCCCGAATCTGGTCGGTAGGTAGATACTTTGTCTACCATATAGTCGGAATTCAATGGTAACAGGAGTTACGCAGCGAATCGTCTAGTGAAACCAGAGGCCGCAAGAGGAGCGCGCCAGACCCGAGCGAGCCTAGCTCACTGTCATTTCCACATGCAAGTGTGCCAGCCGGAGGTCAGGATGGCTTGAAGATATGGGGATATATGCCCGGCCATGTACATTATAAAATTGGTTACCTCGAGCTTGTAAGTGCGCCACGACAGTCCCTCCAACATGGCTGACGGATGCTCCAGATTGGGCAACGGCACGACTCCACAGCCGAGACATCTCCAGATACGGTTGCAAAGGTTGTAGGCGCAATACCTCCTAGATCTATCACTGGTAATCTCAATGCCATTCCACATCGATCTCTTGCTAATCTGGCTCAGATTCCATCGTAAACCACTTCTTGACGGTCGTCAATTATCGATATCCTATCATCTATGGACCGACTCTGACCGATCAGTACGTCCAATGGTGGTCCGATAGATCTACTGATGGAATCATTTCACCCGAGTTCACTTGCCTATTACTCCGAATATGTGCTTATACCGTCCAATATCTCACTCCTTCGATGCGCGAGATGATCGAATTTGAGCTGGCGTGTAGCTCACAAGCACTTACGGAGCGACTTGCCAATGCCGCAGAACAAATATCCAGAGACTTTCTCGCGTCGAACACCAGCATTGAGCGCATTCAAGAGGGATTTCTCAAAAGCGCTTGGCTGAAAGCGGAGTCTAAGATTGTGGAATCGTGGCACACTCTCGGTTCTACGATCCGCGAGGCACAAGAACTCGGTATTGATAAGGACGCTGGTATTGAGGGATTGTCGGAATTCGACATCGAGATCAGAAGACGGGTATGGGCAATATTGTATATATGGGACTGGTAGGTGCTTCGGTCTACTTGCTTTATATATTTCTGACTGTGACTATAGGCAAATGTCCGCATGGCTTGGTCGCCCAAGCCTTATTGACCAAAGAAGCCTGAACTTCACGCTACCCAGCTTACGCCTCGACCAATCGACAACAGAATCAGAGGTTCCCTCACCGTTCACGCATATGGTTCTTCAAGCAGAACTTGGTCGTAGAGTTACAGCCGCCGTGGGAGGTGCATCAGCCAACAATCTCTTCACCGCGAAGCAAGTGCTGGATGTCAAAAGAGCATGCGAAAATTTCATAGAAGAGCTTCCGCCCATCTTCAGGGTCAAAGATCCCGACTTATCCCTCGATGAGCAGCATCCTTATTTCGTCTTGCAGCGGCATCAGTTACATTGCGTCGTTTTTATAACGATGCTTCATGTGTTCAAACCATACCTCACTCGGCAACGGCGCGACAGGATCACGGACCAGGATGACGAGTTCCGGAGAATGGGCGTCGAGATTGCCCATCAACTTTTCCAAGTTTCGCGAGATCTATTAGATCATGAATTCTCAATCAACGCGAAATTCCAGGTGGTTGTCTTTGCGATATTTGACACCGCCACACTCCTCTGCTCGGCCATCATTCACGATCGTGATCACGTCCTACATCGCCGCGAAGAGGTTATCGAACTGATTCAGAGCTCGCTCAGTATGCTACATCAGCTCAGTTTTACGACAAAACTCGGTGCTACCTCGTACAATTTCCTCGCCAAACTCGTGGAAGCCACGCCTGCACTTTCGCGACAATCACTCACTGCGAAGCGGAGGAAACATACGACGAACTCCCTGCCACCGCCCACCCCACCTGTAAAAAGCGCTCCTGCTTTGGTCAAGTCGGAGTCTCTCCCAACCGTGATCACTTCCCTGTCACAAGGGAGTCCCCACAAGGTAGCAGTCACAGCCCCTACCACCGTTGAAACGGTCGCTTCACCTACGAGAACGACAACAGACGACCTCACCTTTGACATCGACAACTTCCTAGCACACCATCCATTTGGACAAGTGGGGAACCCCCCTACACTTGACATGGGCGGCATGGAGCAAATTTGGGAATGGGAGGATTTACGACTCGACGGCTGCACCCAGCAAGGGTCAAATTCATGAGGCAGTAGTTTCCCTCGACTCTCCTCTCCCACTCGCTCGTCCCATCTTTTTCGACGCTGACGAGATTGTATAGGTCCATGTGTCTGCAGGTTCATGTCAAACGACTGCCTCGCATCCCTCGGTACTTCTCTCTCTCCAAGGAGATGTGAAGAACAAAACGAAAATTCAAACAAGCGCTTTTTTCAGCGCGCATGAACCCCAAACTCCGCAGTTTTTCTCCTGACCCACCCATCAGAAAGACTGTTTTCATGCGCGCAAAGATGGCAACGCGGGAACCTACCGTCCTTTCTCGTTGCCGAGAAACATTGCGCCTACGCTTATTTTCACTGCCGAACTTTGCACTCATTGTTCATTGGGAACTTTTATGGTTCTTCAGGTTTTTTCTTATAAATCCCGCATTTTTGGCTGAGAAGATGTGTTGAACGTCTTAGAAGCGCATGCGATGACATTGATGGCAGGATCGTTTGATTATGATCCTGCAGACACATGGTGCCCTTGCTCTCTCTCTCTCTCTCTCTCTCTCTCTCTTTACTTTTTTGTTTCTCTCTTTCTCTTCTCTCCCCGCAGCTTCGGTTCGCCGTCAGTGAACGCTCGCTGTACCCTTTTTTCGGGCATTCGATTCGATGTAACAATGCTGCCCACGCTCTGTTTCTGAAAATCATAGTCGGCAATGTAGTTTTAGCTATTTAATGTGTAAAGTCCAGACTTATTATGAAGATGTAATAATGCATTTCCGCAATGAATCGGAGTACATAGAACGATGGAAACGCGTGGGATCTTGGGTCTGCTTTGTAGAACGAGTGGCAGGATCTGTTTGACATCAGGAGAAGTATCAAAGTCGTCCAACTTCCACTTTACAATCTCCATCTTGAAAAATATCTATCCATCACTATTGCTCCTGTCGCACGTACCCTGCGCTTAGCTTCAACCCATCACATCAAGAACATGGCCTCGATCGTTTCAACGGCGCTCCACAATAAATCTCCGCCTTGCGCTTGCTCGACGGCTTCCTCACTCTCGCACTGGACCATCTTTTACCATCACCACTAGCAGCGACATCATCTCCATGTCCATCTCGCCCGCTCGCCGCGCTCTCAACATCCTTTGTGCCCGTCGTCCCCGCCGGAGCAGAACTTGGTGGCGAGATATAAGCTTCAGGATGCGATTGCGCTTCCCCATCACCACCGTACCCCGCGTCAAACGGGCCTGTAGGCCGCAAACCTCGCAGTTTGAGAAAGACCTTGGGGTTTTCTAGGGTATTTGGTGGCTCGGTTATGGGCACATGTGGTGTGAATGCGGGTGAGGCTGGGGAAACGAGATGGAGGTGCTCAGAGTCGTGGGTGGTGGGTTGGCTATTTGGTTCCATGTCGGAGAGATGAATCTCATGCACTGGTGTCGCGCTTGGCGAACGGTAGGATATGCCGACATCTTTCTGGACACGTGTGATGCGTGGCGTCCAGTTGTAGAGGTCGATTATGCATTTAGCGTGTGTTTTCAGCTCCGCACACATTAGTATGGCGACGTCGATGAGCCGGTCGTGTTTCTGGGTCATGTTGCGATGGTCATGTTGGAGTGCGGCGTGAGATTGGGACAGGTCCTCGTGCTCGTTGTAGAGTTGGTTGATTTTGTGCTCTGAGCTGTATTCCACGGCCTCGAGGCGCCATCGTAGATTGATACATTCGGCTTGGAGTTGCTCCACGTAGGCATGTACAGAGCAGAATTCTTCAATCTCACGCCTTGTGGGAGGCTGTGTTGGAGCTACGTCGAGGTACGAAGGGTTTGCAGTGTCGATGCAAGACTGATGTCTGTTTCTTGTTAGTTGCTGCAGAACCATTGGGGGTATGGGGCGTGTACTTCTCGCATCTCCCGTCGGCTCGGCTCGAGTGGAACTACCACAACTGCTTACCAGCAATATAGCTACTGTTGAATACAAAGCAGCCATCTTCGAGCACGTATATAATGTCACTGCTGGCGATATCTTGGTTGTAGGGATCCATCTCGCAGTCATCGGAATACCACCGCTCACTATACCTGAACCGGTTATCATCCGGCCAATCTGAGTGTTTCGCCCTCGAATAAACGGGTGATGAACTTGGTTCACTGCTCGAAAATCGTATACTTGCATGGCGACATGCCGTGCCTGCGGGGCAGTAATGGTCATCCTCACTAGTTGACCAACGCGATTCCAGGCTGCTGTCTCCCTCGGAGACGTATGACATGCTGAAGATGGCTGACGAAACTCAGACCAGTAATTCTAGCTGCAAGTAGTAATGAGCCTAGCAATGCTGGAAAGATGGTTGCTTGAAAGTTGAAGCGGAAGAAATGGGTATGGTATTGTGTATGGTAAGCGACGAATAGTACCTGCAGGTCTTTGGTAGATGGTAGCTTCCTATAGAGTGCCTTTTCAAGGCTGGCAGTTAGCCATTTAGTAAACCAGACATCCTTCAGGTGTTTGAAGAGCAGGGGCGACATAACGACTTCCTGCACGTCTTACCGGTACCATCGAACCGAGATGATCCCAGAACCAAAGAGACGCGGAGTTTGCGAATGATTGGTTAAGGAAACTATAAGACACTGAAAGGAGTTGCAACTTCGTAGACGAATTGTTTCGAAATCAGCACATTTTTCGGGAAATCATATGTAATCAATTAGAAGCTTGGATGTGACATCACATTGGCGGCGATGGCCGAGCAAGGAGGAAAGCGCCCAGAAGTGTGCATAGTAAGGTAAAATCGCGTGATGTTGCCTCGCGGACTGAATGGTTGACCCGGTTTTTACCCACACCAAGACCTTTTTCCCATCTCGGCCTTGAAATACGGCTGACTCCTTTTGACGCTGGGTCAGCACCATGAAGAACATTTTTAGGATTGACGGAAGGAAAGCCTCCAGATAGAGGCAGAGTCTCTCTCTTAAGAAAAGCATGCATCAACTATCTGAATCCTCCCGATCGAGACTTTCTCCAATGTTCTCGATGCAAGGGTTCAGGGCGTTGATTGTTGATTCCCGATCTCGACGCCCAGTGTACCAGATTTCAAGTTTCAAGCCCGCTTACTGTCGGTCTCATCAATTAGGCCAACCGAACCAGGAACCTTGATCGGCATGCCAAAATGGACAGGGTGGACTTTGCAAAATCTGCACGTGCGGTAAAGCCTGAGAATCACGTAACGGTAATGGGCGTGTTAGCGATGTCACCGTACCGAGAACTTTTTCCAACTTGGTTGCGCCACAGTGGTCGCCCTGATCGCAGTAGGAACGAGAACCTTGTATGATGAATGATATGTCGCCTTTTATGAATGGATGAATGAATTGTCCTCTGCGGAACATATCATCTGCGGGTGGCTTGCTCTACGACCTCAACTTGTTCCTCGGATGTCACAGTGCAGAAGGCAGTCGTTCGACAAGCTTGTTCCGGCAAGTTTGAGCGGGAGGCGCTATCAAGCTTCACCTAGCGCGCATCATCGTCCCGGATGAGCGAACCACAGCAACCAAGTTCGTCGATCTTTACAGTGAAAGACAGAACCATTGTAACGTATTGAAATCCTGAGCACTGCGTGACTACGTCACAGTGCGCCCTAGGAAACGTTGAACATTCGATGACCCAATTTTCTCGGACAAGGCGGCGGCGCTGCAACCAACGGATGTATATTTGAACGGCTACCTGTCGTTGTTATAGACGAAAACATTGGCAGGCCCTTTGCTATTCTTTCCACGCACATTGTGCATACCACATCCCAATACAAGCATTACCAAGTCCGACGATCTTTTCCAGGCCTTCTTGTGCAGCATCTACTCTACTGGACAGGTGACACAAGGTGACAATCAACCCGAAGTCTACAACCCAAGTGCAACATAACGCCCCAGTGCACAGCCAGCCCAGCGCCTCCCCCCACTGTGACTGCCACAGTGACTAGCATACTCCATACTTCCATTGCGCCACAACACCTTTCCACGCAGCAAAACGAGGCAGCACAGTTGCCCATCGCCACAACACGACTGTTGCCATCCACCAATATGGGACAACAACTATTTATAAACCCCTTTAAGAGGCATCACATAGACGAGTTCCCAGGAGTGCTTGTTCCTTTGGCCGACCCAACCCATCGCAGCTCTGTGAACAACCCTCGCGCCTCAAACGCCACTACCCACCATCCTGACAACGAAAAAGAACACAAAGATCGTGACCCAAGCGACACACTCACACGCCCAGGAAGCAATGCATCAAGTACCGTAGTTAACTCTGGCATGACCGTTGAAGCACTCAAAGCAGAGGTCGAGGCCGAGGTTGCGGCTTCGGATACCGACACTCCTTACGATCGTATGTTTATAGACGTGCTTCGATTACGTTCATTTTGGGTACTGTTAAATGTTTACAAGCTAATACTGCCCAGGTAAGTCGAAGGTCATCAACAGAGCTCTCCAAGACATGGGCATGGGAAGGTACCAGTGGCAGCTATTTGCGCTGTGCGGATGCGGCTGGATGGCGGTAAGTAATACCATTTTCATTGCCTTGGAGTGGTAATCGATCTCGCAGTCTTTTGTAGCCTGTGTTGAAATACATCTTGACAGCCTCTAGGATAACCTGTGGCTTCAAGGTGTTGCCCTTACACTTCCGCAGCTGTCGGTCGAGTTCGGTGTGAGCGACACTGAAGTCCGCTACACGACTCTCGCACTCTTCCTCGGGTTATGCATTGGTGCCTCTTTCTGGGGAATTGCATCTGATATTATCGGTCGTCGTCTGGCGTTCAATTGCACTCTTCTGCTGGCTGGTATTTTTGGTCTTGCGGCTGGTGGCGCACCCACTTGGATAGGCACATGCGCGCTTTATTCTTGCATTGGAGTCGGCGTGGTAAGTTTGGATACCCATTTGCACGCTGCTAACTGAACATTCGATTCTTATCTGCGGCTCTGCTCCTCCGACTAAACTTAAATCATCAACTAACCCTTTCTCTAGGGCGGATCCCTCCCAGTTGACGGGACATTATTCTTAGAGTTTCTGCCACAAACATCTGGTAATCTGCTTACGCTACTATCTTTGTTCTGGCCAGTTGGGAACTTGGTGGCCTCGCTGCGTATGTGATTACTTCTGCTAACTTATGAACATTTCTGACAACTTCAGTCGCCTGGGCATATATCCCCAACTTCTCATGTTCCAGTGACACTCCTCTCGGACTATGCCGCAAGGAAGATAACATGGGATGGCGATACCTGATCCTCACACTAGGAGCAATCACCTTCACCATGTTTGTCGCCCGATTTTTCCTTTTCCACCTTTACGAATCGCCCAAGTTTCTTCTGTCGCGCGGTCGCCAGGCCGAAGCGGTGGCGACAGTATACGGAATCGCACACTACAACAAGACCCACACCTGGCTCACCGAAGACATTCTCAACTACGTTGGCGGCAACCCAGAAGCCACCGGCGAAGACGTGAAACTCAGTGTCTTTGAGATTCTCAAGCGCTCTCTCTCTAGGTTCTCATTGAAGCGTTTCAGTGCTCTCTTCACAAACAAGACGATCGGTCTCACTACTGGTCTCCTCTGGTTCCAATGGACAACCATCGGTATGGCATATCCCTTGTTCAACGCCTTCTTGCCACAATATCTGGCCAATTCTGGTGGCGACTTTGTCAACGACACAAGCACTGTTTATCGCAATTACGCAATCACCGCCATAGTGGGTGTTCCTGGATCTCTTCTCGCTTGTTACACCGTCGACCTGATGTACATTGGTCGCAAGGGAACAATGGCAATCGGCACCGTCATCACCGGTGTTTTTGTCTTTCTCTTCACTATCTCCTCGGATTCAGACTTCCAGCTGGCATTCACATGTCTTGAAGCTTTCTTCCAAAACATTGCCTACGGCGTACTGTAAGCCTTACATTCTCATCCCTCACTCATAATCATGATCTCGTGTATAAACTGACTCGCTATCTCAAGGTACGCATATACTCCAGAAGTATTCCCAGCCCCTATCCGCGGTACTGCGACCGGCATGTCCAGCTTCCTCAACCGAATTGCCGGCCTTTGTGCCCCGATTATTGCTATTCAGGCTGGGAATTCGAATCCCAAGGCTCCCATCTATGCTTCTGGGGGGTTATTTATTGCAGCAGCTTTGTCTATGCTGATACTGCCGATTGAGACGCGGGGTAAGCAGACTTTGTAAGTTTATGCTTGGATGACATGGAACGGTGGTTTGTAGCGTAGAAGCTTTAGTTTGATAGGACATGGATACCCATGGTATGTTCCAACATTGCTGGAATTGGTGAATAGATTATGATGGATGGGGTTATTTTATACATCCTCCACCTCCATACTCATGATGCTTTGTGATGAATTCAGATGAAGGTCTGCTGAGACATGATAATGCAGAGGGATTAGTACTAGCGAAAGGCAGTCTAGTAAAGGCGCTGCATGTGTTTGTGACAGTGAGTGGCGATACATAAGCTATGCTTGGCCAGTATTGACACTACGAATTCGACTGAGGCACTCGATGAAGGTGGAGTGTTTCAAAGCAGCCACAGACTGTCCTCGTCGCCTTGCTTCATGTTGTCTGAGCAGCATCGTTGTATGTTTTGATGGCTTTATAGCTTTGGCTACCATATGTAGTGCGAATGGCGAATTGCTTTGTGAGCGGAAGCATGTGATGAGATTCTTCTCTGTATCTGTTTTCAACTATCAAACTCTAAACTCACCTACCATCGTAGTGTTCACTCGCCTCTGTGCCTCGGTACCTGGCACTGGGTACCGTACCGGTACATGTGGTAAATTCACTACACATCCTTTAGCAACATCTCGTGCCCATTTCCTCACACCTTCGCCTTCGGAATTCGGAATCCTTGGTATCCTTAACACAGTCCTATTGTGACAAGCGTAGAGACGTGCACATGAACTCATTCGCGTGGTGGTTGTCCGCTGTCGATAGGTCATATCCGTATGGGGAAACATCTGCGCTCACTAGTCCCAATCAGGGATTTGCCGCGGCATATTTTCATCGTGGCCACCTATGGCCATACCATGACGTGACCACTTGTAGCAAAAGGACTCGCAAAGCCCAATGGAGCAGAGAGGAAGCCAGCGCCTTGTCGACTAGAAAAGTGGCCAGCGGGAGGGGAAGAACATTGGCCAAGTAGTGTTGCTCTTGAAAGCGGTGCGCAATCCGGCGTTTTATTTCCTTGTGGGTATATGTAGGTACGTGGTGCGACCCCTTGGTTGCCTCAAATTTCGTCCCCGCAGCTTTTATATTACACTTCCATTTTTGGTTTGGGACTCGAAGTGTCGCTCACTCTGACTAAGTCTCCTCGACAGTAGACTGGTTGGACGGTGCTCACAACTCATATCGATCGTCTCGCCGCACACGCATACGCACATACCGCATACCGCATACCGCATACCGCATACTACCGTCAGCACCACAACGAGCTTGGCTTAGTGACAATGAACGGCCACAGCGTCGCCAACGGGCATGCCAGCGCCTCGAACGACACGCAATTCGATGTCCTCATCATTGGCAGCGGCTTCAGTGGAATCAATGCAGCCTATCGCGTCCAAGAAGGGCTGCCAGATTTGTCCTTTGCCATTCTCGAGGGCCGACATGAACTTGGTGGGACGTGGTCGCAGTTCAAGTACCCCGGTGTGAGATCAGACTCGGATCTACACACCCTGGGCTTCGAGTTCAATCCATGGAAAGCGACGAATCCTATCGCTACCGGTGGCAGTATCATGTCATACCTGAACGAGACGGCGCACGAATTCGACATCGACCAGAAGATACGGTACAATCACAAAGTCATCGCTGCGGATTGGAGGAGCAGCGAACAACAATGGAGACTTGATGTCCAAGTGGGACAGGGGGAGGACACACGGACAGCAGTGTACTGGGCCAAGTGGCTCATCACGGGTACTGGGTACTATAGCTATGAAGAGGCCAGAAAGGCAGACATCCCTGGCATAGACAATTTCAAGGGCCAAATCGTACACCCACAGTTCTGGCCGGAAGATTTGGACTACAAGGGCAAGAAGATGGTCATTATTGGATCGGGCGCGACCACCATCACACTGTTGCCAGCGATGGTCGAAGGCGGAGTAGGATCGGTTACACAGCTACAACGAAGCCCAAGCTACATTATAAGTGTCTCACAGAACGGCGACTCCTGGTGGGAAAAGTACGCACCTCAATGGTTCTTGTTAAAGTACAAGCGTAAGTTTGCGTTCGACATGCGAGGATGCTTTGATTGACTGTATCCCAGGCTTCATGTTCACTTGGATGGCCATCCTCATGTACCAATTCTGCATGTACTTCCCCACCCGCGCCTCCAAATTCCTGCGCAAAGAAGCTGCAAAGCAGCTACCCGCCGACTTCCCAATGGACCCACACTTCAAACCCGCATACAACCCCTGGCAACAACGACTCTGTGTCTCCCCTGACGGCGACTACTTTAAAGCCCTCAACTCAGGAAAAGCCCACATTGTCACCGACACAATCAAGAACGTAACAAGCAACAGCATCGAGCTCAACAGCGGCGAGACACTAGACGCAGACATCATCATCACAGCCACCGGTCTTAGCCTCCGCATCCTCGGCGGTATCAACATCAGCCTCGACGGCAAGCCAGTCAATGTTACCGAACAATACATGTGGCGCTCCAGCATGCTCACCTCCATACCCAACCTCGGCAACATCATTGGTTTCTGGAACGCTTCGTGGACGCTGGGCTCCGACACTGCGTCTTGTCTCTTCGTGCGCCTGATCAAGCACATGCATGAGAATGGCTATACCTCCGTGGTCCCGGAGATCAGCGAGGAAGACAAGAAGTTGGCAGTCGGTGCCAGCCCGCTGAACAGCACTTATGTCGCGAATGCGACGAGCAAGCTGCCCAAGTGCGCGAACAGGGGTCCGTGGAAGCCGAGGGAGAATTATTTCGTAGATAGCTGGGGTGCGGCAAAGGGGAGCTTCACGGATGGTTTGAGGTGGGAGAGGAAGAGTGTATAGATTGCGGCCCTGTCCTTTTTCAATAACACGTTTTATCTAGGGCAGCCTCTGCGTCGAAAGCAATAATGGTAGAAAAATGAAATGTGTAGTGACTCCAGTACGAGGCATACATCCTCACTGTACATAGCCAGAATCGTGATAATTTCAAGTAAACAGCCTGCAACGTTTATTCTAGCACTTCTACACTTGATCCCTTTGTAGCTTCAGTAAATCTAATAAGATACGTATATACAGCTTGAAAGTAAAGTCACACGCCTTTAGCAAAGGAACACGCATGCATCAAATACAAAGCACCGCGCCATCATCCGTTGCGCATCACAGGACCAACACTATCCATGACCATCACCCCGTAAAAGTTATATGTTGTCACCACCGAAGGACGTCCCC